TTGAATCCTCAGTGCTTATTCTTCTCTGCTTTATCACTGTGCAGTCTCCCACTTTATCTTTATTTCTGAATTGCTGTTTTAGACTCGCGCTTGTGTTGAAATGGTAGGGATATTGTTTGTGTATCTTGAGAGTGTGGGAAGGAGTGAATGGACTTCTGAAGATCATTCCTGCTCTGCTGTCTTGTACCCATCTTGGATGGATGGATGGCCTGCCAAAAAACAGTTCTGCGCCCTCCAGCGGCCTTGTTGGTTAAGGACGTGGTCTTGTGGGCCGGGGATTTAGCTCAATGGCACCATGATCCCCAGTACTCCCACTGGAAAAAAAAAGGTCTTGATCTGCAGTCCGGGCTGGGCTTGGTACAGACATGGCCACCGCCCCAGACATGGCCACCGCCCCTGGCTTCCTCAGATGGTCTGCAGACACAGCAGTGTAGCCTTCAACTGCCCACACTGGCTGCTTCCTGTTTTAGCTCAGTGAGTCATAATTTGTAGAGAATTGTCTTTACTCTAATCAGATTAAATATCTCAGTGTCCCCTCTCCATGTGAGAGGTTTTTCTGGTCCTGTTTGCACATTCTTGGTTGATGAAAACCAACTGCTAATTATGTATTAGTCTGAGAATGCAGTGTTTAGGGTGAATGTATCTGAATTAATTGTCATTAATAATGCCTTGCAATTTATGAGCGCATTCTTTGCCTGACTTAAGAATCAGATAAATTAGTGAGGTTTATTTTTTAAGTGTCACAGCATGAAATGACTGTGTGGGGACACCTCTCGATGGTTTAATTTCACAACCGTGACCAGCTGGGTGTCTCTTGTTTATTCCTTGTCCAGTAGCTATTTATTATTCCCATTTTTTTGCAGCTTAATAGCAACCTCTGTTTTCTTGCCATTGTGAATTCAGTCTCACATCTACAGAACTGGTACTCACTGCATTCAGCAGTTCTAACCCACAAAAAAATGAAAACAAACCTACGCTTTACAGCATTGAAGGTAACTTGCCTGTCATGTAAATTTGAATGTCATGCCAAGAAAAGGAATAAAGATACCTTTTCTCAGTTGGGCTATGTAGTATTTTAAAAGGAAAGGCCCACAAATTTTACTGTGCTTTGTGTTAATCATATTTTTTTTCATAAAGGAAAACACAGATAATTGTCTCTCAGAAATAATTACTGTGAAAATTGATTTTGCATCCTTCAAGGATATGGTTTATGATTCATTAAGATTTCAGTGGAGGGCTGGGGATTTAGCTCAGTGTTTCTGCCAGCTGCCTTGAAAGCCCAAGGACCCGAGTTCAATCCCTGGTATAAAAAAAAAAATTTTTTTTTCAGTGGAGCTTTCAGGAATAATTTCTCCCCATTTTTGAAGTTCTAAGGAGCATCGGGGGAATGCTATGTGGTTAGTGACACAGGCCTTCCAAATTCAGACTGTGCTATTGAAACCATGGCTGCTATACTCAATTAAACATGCTTTTATTGTTTAATTACTACTAAAAGAAAAAGATTATTTTAACACAATGAAGCATAAATTTCAGGTGGCTGCTCATATGGACTTGCTACGAATCCAAACCTCAAAGGCGGGTGGGAACTTGACAGGGTCTTAGGCTCAGCCCATCCCTCTCTCCGAATTTTGTTTCTGAGGTGACTGAAGTGAGTTCTCTGAGAAGGTCTTGGGCTGAGGCTACATTCCAGGGACGGCTCTACCGCTCAGCAATCTCAGCAGGCCTCAATGTCCTGATCTGAAAGTGGGGGTGATGATAGCACCCACTCTGTTGGGTTGTAAAGATCAGATAAGATACTGTGTCAGGGCAGTTAACAGGGCTCTTGGCGCATGGCCAGCGAGGATTAGCAGTGAGGCCAATGCCCAGTATTGAGAGTGCAGGCAGAGCAAGCCAAGACCTCAGGGTCTCCCACTTCCTCCCTCCACCCCACATGCCTTCCCTGCCTTCACTGTTCAATTGCAGTACAATCGGGAGCGTTTGTGCACTTTGTATTAAACCTTTGTACCAGCTCTCTCGCCCCTCTTTGGCCTTCTGTTGATGTCAACAACAAAGCTTTATTTTGTGTCAACGGTTGGGTCCCAGGCCATCAGCCTCTGTGCCCCATGGCTAGGCAGAGAGGCCATGCTGACCCACACCTGTGTTCTGCAGTGACCGGTGCCGCGTACCCAGGAACACAGGGTCTTCCTGGGGCCCAGGGGGACCTGCACCCAGCCTTTGGGCGTGAAGGATTTCTAACACATTAACAAAGTGGTGTGAGTCGTGCAGGGTTGTGACTGTGACATTCAGCATAAATGGTGGATGGAAATGTGTTTGCCAGAGTGGTCTGACAACTATTAAATGGTTCACAACTCTAACATGGTATTGCCCTTTTATTGTAAGAGCTCATTAAATATTTGCAACCTGAAAGAACCGTATATGTGCCCTGAATAATGTAACCGGTGCTTTCAGTGTTAGCTAACCTAATAGAATTTTAATAAACTCCAAAACCACTTTTATCTCCATAAATTAAAGACAATTTGGATTTTATAGCACATGCTTATTCCTAAGGGAGAAGAGTAATATTCTTTCCTGCAAAATAGTAATGGTTTTAACCTAAATCTTTTGTTTCCTTTCATGAATATTACGTAACCAACACAAATATATGTGTGTTCCAAATTTAGGTACAAATGCAGACAAAAAGTACTAAAGCTTTGTTTAAAGAAAACCAATAAGTATAAATTGATGAGACATTGTTTCTAGTTTTGCTGCCAGTTTGGGGATGGACTACTTAGAATGGTCTGATATAATACAAAGAATGCTGACCTAATGAATTTTTCTCAAACTGGAGGTTTTGGAAGCCAAGAATTTAGTTCTGAAATCTGTTAAGTTCACAATCAAGAGCCCCATGTGACACAAGGAACTTAACCAATGAGATTAATTCAGCCTTATTAAGATGATAGCATGTTGTTGTTATCTGTATGGGCTCGTTGGGAGGCACAACTCTCTTATGTTGTAAGAGGCTACACGAGAGTGCTGTCCAGGGAGTCACATGCCTTTCAGTTACCAAGCAGTGCTAAAGTTAATAATTTCATTAAAACTGATAAATGATTGCCCACTCTCATACACAGCAAAACAAAACATCCCTACTGAATAGTGTAATATAGGCACCCGTGGATACACTGTTGAAAAAAATATTGATTCCAAACTTAAAGCTTCTTTTAAGTGGTAGATCCTCTGGTTCCTGAAGCATTTGTTCACAGGTTGCTGGATCTAGCCAGCCACCTGGGGGAAGAAGTTGGCAGGTTGGAGAAAGCCAAGGGAAATGTGAAGCCATTGTGAATGAGGCACAGTTTGGAAGAAAGATGGGGTAGCCGTGAAACGCTCCCGTGACTCAGTACAAGCTGTTGCTCATCACAGGTGCAGCTGTACCAGGATGTTTTATTATCTTCAGAATGAGAGGTTAGACTGCAGACTCAGATTCTTTCAGCGGTATGGAAATCAAGGTGTGAGCATAATTAGCTTTGATTTGTCGTCTCATCCTGTTTCTTGTCTTCTCTGATAACAAGGACCAAATCTTCCTTGCTCTTGGCGCAGTCTGGTTTATGCAGACGGGACTTGTGGAAGTAACTGAAGTGCAGTACTCCTTTCCCAGATGTGTGTGGGACACGCTGGGCATAGCTGTCCTCCCCCAGAGCCCTTCCCACACCCTGGGCAGTGACTCCCACACTGCGTTCCCACACATCCTGTCTGGACATTTCTTCTAGCTGCTTTGTATTTCATTCTTGTATCTGAACGTCTTTCCCCATCAGCAGGGGTGGAAACACCTTATAGGCAGGGCCTAAGTTTTATTCCAGCTTGACATCCACCAGGCCCCTTTGGACTTACTGGACAAAGGAAGGTGGCTTGGAGAGCCCCTCTCCTTTTTATCTTTTGAGACTCGGTCTCGCTGTATAGCACAAGCTGGCCTCGAACTCCTTGCAGTCCTCTGCCAAGTTGGCCTCCCAAGTACTGGGATTGCAGGTATGCACCACCACGCCCGGCTCCCTTTGCTTAAATATGAACCCAGCAATATATGAAAAATTTTGCTCTGTCAAGGAACTAATTTTTGTTGTTGTTATTTCTTGGCTTGTTTTTGTTTTTTCTTTTTGGAACTGAGAATCCTTTAAAAGCTCCTTCTATTCTGCTAGAAGTACAAATATTTAAGGTGGATTTTATTGCTAGCAACAAGGGATGTATATAGCTTGGAAACCAAAATGCAGAAAAAGTTAACCAAGAGAAAGGTCAGATTTTTCAATGTCGTGTCAAAAACCAAGCCTGCCATTCACAGGAAGGTAAACAAAACTGAATTCTACGCTTGGCCTCTGGAACTGCTTCTTTGCATTTGTTCTTAACCTTGTCCAACCCAAATCCCTCCTGTGTAGTCTCAGGCCCACTGACTTCCTTCTTCCCTACTGGAGGTTCTTCAGTTGGTATAGCCCCACCCAGTATTTATTTTTATTCTTAGTTCCTGCCAGATAGGTAAAGATCACAAGAATGTTGATGTTGTTCTTTGAGTGCCCAAATATGTAAATCATGTCTGTTAATCAGCAAATCATGTCCATTAATTCAACAAATATTTACCTCCAGATTTGAAATCCTTCTTGCCCGGATAGCATTTTCTTTACGGAGGGAAGTTGTCTTGGAAACATAATCAGTAGAGCTCTGGGTTGAGGTGCTGGAGGGGAAGTGGGCAGAAGACATGAGGGAGAAGTGGAGCCTCAGCAGGGACCCCGGCCTTCCTCCTTCCCCACCGCCATGCAGTGGCCTGGAGGCCCCGAGTCGCAGAAAAGGGGGAGCCGGGAGCCACATGGAAAAGTCCGGCGAGGGAGTGAGGAGGGTGGGCCGAGAGTTTAGGAGAGGAGTGGGAAAGGGAGACTAGGCGGGCAACGGACTCTGTGTCCACCAAGTTTCCTTTGCAAGACGTGTTCAAGCCGGGACCTTCCCTCCTGGGTAGTAATGATGTATTTCTTACGCTTTTCTAGATCAATGAACTGAGCCATGTTCAAATCCCTGTCATGTTGATGCCAGATGACTTCAAAGCCTATTCAAAGATAAAGGTGGACAATCACCTTTTTAACAAGTGAGTACCTTTCGTGGGACCAGCGTGGCTGCTAAGAGATGACTTTGGTGAATTCCTGTCATCTCATTGTTTTTTCAGTGGGAGTTAAGTTTTGCTGATGGAGTTGGTCCTGTGATAAACATAACCATCTGTCATTTTCAGAGAAGCAGCAGGCCCTCTGAGAGAATATCCTTTTGCCATACGGCACACTGTTCTCCATGAACATCTTCTACATTAAAAGTGGTATTCTTGTTACCAGTTAAATTTCTGAAGCTGTAAATTGCTTGGAATCTTGAGCACAAAACTCTGAAAATGCTGGCTTTGTGAGCAGAAATGACTCCATGACAGAACGATAATGAATTCAGGCACGTTTTAATAAAAATAGCTGGGCGCCGTGCCGTGCACTCGGGGTGCCCTTCCTTCGAGCGTCCTCTGAGATGCCACACCAGGCACCTGCTGCCCGTTGGACAGCTGGCGGGGAGCAGCGCTGCAGTGATGTAGCGACATGGCCCTGCCCTCCGTGGCCCACAGTCGGCCTGTGGTTGAACAGTGGCACGTACATGATGGCCGCAGTCTGGGGTATGGAACACGATGACAAGTGAGTGTGTGGTGCATAGCTTTGGTTCTGTGGGACCAGAAATGGGGAAGAGCAGTCCTGAACAAGGAGGTGCGCTCATGTCCCTCCCACAGGAGGACCAGTTATAAAGTCTCTTTTTATTTTGTTTGTTTTCGAGGTCCTGGCGATGGAAGCCAGGGCCTCACACATGGGCAAGTGCTGTCCCAGCGAGTGCTCCCTCCAGCCCCTGTGCATTTCTCAGCAGGGCCACTGTCCCGATGCAAAGCCGGACCACAGCACTGTGCAGGGCGGGGATTTCTGGTTCTGTTCTCTATGAATGTAGAAGGTGGCATTTGTACAAAATGCGTCATTGCGGGCCTTGTTTTGTTGACTTCACCCAAATGGTGATGGCAGCGTCACTCCCGCCTCTGGGCCCACTCTGTCCCTTCCTCACTGTCCTGCGTCTGCTTTTCTGTCTCGCTCCCCCTGGCTGCTCCTCCACCTCTCCTTCCCTGGAGAGCAGCTGTCATGTGTGTGCTGGATTCAGGGGTCGCACTGCTCAAGGGTATGTGACGGGGACAGCACCTCCCTTCTGTGGCCTCCTGTGCTTCGATGGGCAGTAGGCAGGGCTGGGCGGGGGCACGGCTGAGCCCAGGGACCTTTCCATCTGCCTGAGCTTTATTTCACCATGTGATCGTTTCAGAGAAAACATGCCGAGCCATTTCAAGTTCAAGGAATACTGCCCAATGGTTTTCCGGAATCTTCGGGAGAGGTTTGGAATCGATGACCAAGATTTCCAGGTGAGTCGCTTTTGTCATTTGCTTCCACTGGCAAATCGGTGTGGTCACACCTTCTGTCCTATGAAACAGCATCCGTGTTTTTTCAGCCCCGGAGGTTAAACGCTAATCCTTTACTCATTTGAAGTTTTCAGTGTTCTTTTTCAAGTTAGGGGGACCTAAGTCAGGAGCCTCTGCACTGTGTGACTTCAGTGGAGAAGGTGAGGAGAAAAGAAGTCTCTGTCCTTTCCAGGAGTGCTGCTGCCCTGTGTGTCGCAGCTTGTGCCAGTGCGTATTGAACTTGCATTTATTTTTGTACGCTCCCCGCAGGAATCTCAAAGTGGTTTTCTTTTTTGGTTCCGGGGATCGAACTCGGGTCCTTGCGTTTGCAAGGCAGGCGGTGGAATCAAAATGGTTTTCTTGCTGACTTGCTGTCTTCCAGTTGTCAGACTCTGACCCTTGCCACAGCACTTCCGTCAGAGGGCCCCTTATGCCCTATGGTGCTGGGCCTCGGAGTGACCACCTCCCTGGGGAGCATTCCGGCCCAGCAAGCGTCCTCCTCGGGGTCTTAGCTCCTCCCACATCCGATGGTCACGGTCGCTCTCTCCCCTGCCTGTACTTGCCTGGTTACAATTTCTCCTTTGATAGGTTTCACCTTGGAAATATCTAAATCCCTGTCCACTTTCCTAAGAAAGACCCCGACGATGTTTATTACTTGAGAATTTCCTATAGTGAGGCTAGAGCCGAGGGTCTTTTTTAAAAGTAGAAGTCTTAAGTACTGACTTCTTTTAAAACTTTTCAAAACTAGGTAGCCCTCTCTTAAATTTTCCCTAAATTTAAAATCTGAACTTATCCCACAGTAAGCACCACCTGGCCAGCCTGGTGACCTCAAGAGTGAAGACTTGGAACAGCTAACCCCCCTTTACTTTGCCTTAAAGAATCGAGCCCCCAGGCAGGCCGTGCTGTGTCCCTACACTTTCTTGAAGACCCTGCTCTTCTCCCACCTGAGCCCTTGTTGCAAGTTTCTCAGAATTTCTCACTTCGCTGTGCGGGCCTGAGACATCGCCAGGCTGGCCAGGCTGCTGGTGAGACCCCTGCACTTGAGCAAGGTCACGGTCTCCACTGAGGCCCAGGCTCCCAGCTCAGGGGAGTGGGACAGGCAGAATTCCAGAGCCCTGTTTGTTCTTGAAACTGCACACATTGGGCTCGGTCCATAAGGTAGAAGTTAGACCACAGTTCCAAGCCGGAGATCTGCTATGGACCCTGTAAAGGATAACTGCTGGAATCGTGAAAAGGGTTTGTGTGAAATAAAAAGGGATCATTCCATATGATTTTAGAGCTGTTACTGCTTTTAAGGAAACCACACAAAAATGAACTAGGTACTTGAAAAAGAATTAGCAGGTGACTGTGACATCTGGGAAATCTGGGGCCAACGAAAATGTTCTTCCTCTGTCTCCATCCTTTTCTTTAAAAAATAAAAATAAAAAAAGGAAGGGTGGAGGGCTGACCTGCTGTTTGGCGGAAACTCACTCTCAAGGGTCTGTGCTGTGTTGTTAGGTTCCTTGAATCTAGTCTGAACATTTTTTTTCCTCACCGGTACTTCTGTTAGATCTACAAAGATCTGATGACATGCATTTCTGTACTGTACCAGGGAGAAGTCCTTCTTAAACAAAACCATGTAAGTGTATATTTAAATAAGTGCAAATTGCTGACTGCAAACTTTGAAGGGCTTGGAGGTGAGTGGAGGATGATTCCGATTTGCAAGTAACTAATTGTGGGTCTGTTAAG